TATAGACTCCGATGATTCGTCGGAGGCAGCACCGGGCAACGCCGCTGGCAAGCGACTGCGAGTCGATGCTTCAGCCGGCCCGCTGGCAAGAGCGTTTGCCCGAGCGTGCCCTGGTGGCACCTTGGAGGGCGCAGCTCCAAGTTCTCACGGGGGCGCTTCACAGCCTTCCGCAGAGATGCCAGGATCAGCTCCAAGCGGCGCTGCACAGCCTGCCACGCCGCGGCTAGAGAACGCGCAAGGATCGGCCTGTGAAGCCCGTGAGCGGGCAGCTGCTGCACAGCTGGAGGCGGCGCGAACAGAGCGAAAGGCTCAACTGATATCGCGCGCAGCATCGTTGCGGATGCCGGTCAGCCGATCAACACAGCATAATGTCGAAAAGTTGCGTGCGCAGGTTTGTGCTGAGCTCGAAATACGAATGAAAGCAGCTGCCCGGAGCACACGGAGTGCACGCAGCGGCGCTGCAGAGCCTACAGCTGCTGGTGTTGCTGCCTGCGCCGAGCCCGAAACGCGAGCGACAGCAGCTGGCCGGAACGCGGGCAGCGGCGCTGCAGAGCCTGCTGCTACAGTTGCTGCCGATGCGACGCTATGGCGCCGGCCCGCAGGACCGAATGCATTTGTGCAGGAGCTCTCTTCCCTGGAAGCTGGACTCTGGATCTGGGATGCGAAATCGCATATCTACGCCATGGCTGCTGCAGAGATTCCAAATGGACGGAAGAGATATCCTGGCAAGGAAGATGCCTTACGGGCTGTGCTTCGTTATCGCCAGTCTTCGTTGTCTCGGTTCACAGACGGCCTGTCAGCGCACGACGCAGTCAATCGTGCGGAGTCATGCCTGCGCACTATGATCGATGCAGACAGCCGGGCAACACATCGATTGAGGTTGTCGCAATTAGGCATGAACACACGTGCCTTGCGGGCGCAGGAAGGCAGAGCGACCGGAAGCCAACGTCTTGGAGAAAAAATTGTGGAGGCTGCAAACTGGCTTCGTTTCCACAATGCTGACTTGCGTGTGTTCGACAGAGGCGGAGCAGCCAACTCAGGCGCTCGCAGCTCAGCGAGTGTTTTATGGCAATTTGTCCGGCTGCTAGAAGCACGAACAAAGGCCATGCATGTGCGAGCCTTGTATGTGCCCGGTGAAGACATCGGCGGAGAAACGCTGATAGATTATGAAGACGCAGCAGTTTTGCCTCCTCCGCATCTTTGTCGTTTGTGCGGGGAAGGCTACGCAGACAAGCAGTCTTTTCTTGTACATTGCCGAGTTGCTCATGGAAGCTGGGCGGAGTATCGCAAACGGGTCATTTTCCTGACGGAGGCTGCAGGCCCGCACGAAGTCAAAGCACAGGAGAAGCGTGCTATGGTCCAAGGCTTTGCTGAGTTTCAAACGCAAGCTTCACTTGGGAGCGGTTCAAATGAATGGGGGCATATGCCACGACAGCAGCGGTGCGAGATCGCCTGCTGCTTCTGCGCTCGGTTGGATTGGTCGGAGCACAGGTATCCAATACGTCTCTTTGCAAGTGACGAGTGCAGTGGCGAAGTCGTGGGCGAGCAGGCTTCATGCTTGGACGCTTCTTCTGAAAGCGATGCAGATGATCCGAACAAGGGTGCTGTGGGTGGCTTCCGACTGGTGAAAGGTGCCTTGGTGCTGCAGAAACCAGAAAAAGTACATGAGCTCTTGAACGTCGACCGATACATCTCCAGATGGCCGCTTTTGCCAAAGTCGGAATTGCATGCCAGCAGCATTCAACATCCACACCAGCCTTGGCGCTGGCTGCTTCACACAAAGGCGGTGCCTTCCCTTCCAGCCGATGAGAGAGTGGATGACGCACTTCCAGTTTCCGCTGGCGTGGGAGACCCAGCGGGCACATGTCACTGCTGCGCCGATTGCCGGCGCGATCTGTGCGGCTTGCGCGTGCGTATGCCGCTGTACTGCTTATGCAATGACTTCTGGATTGGCCGTGAACCGCCGCTTCTGCAAGAAGCCAGCATGGCTACGAAGTGGCTCCTGGGGCTTGGGCGTCCCTGCTACAAGAAAGTTATCTTGGGTAAAAGCCGCGAGGCGGACCAACCACATGGCGTCACTGGAAATGTCATATTCTTTGCTCAGCCGGATGCGAGCACGGCAGTCAAGCAACTGCCACCACCAGCGGATGCATTGGTCGATGGGCTGGTTGTTGCATTTTGCAGATCCGTCAATGATTTGCAGCAGGCCAATTTTTTGCAAGTTTCGCGTTCTGCCTATATGGCGCTGGCCAGACTTCGAAAAGCGACCAATGCCAGCTTTGCAGACATTGAGGTGTCGATGGCGCTTGCACAAACTCGACTGCCTGAGACTGGAGTGCCCGTGCACGTGCAAGCGTGCGCTGTGCAGGCCGAGGGCTTTGAGACCTTGGACGTGCGTCTGGGTGGACCAGCAGCTCGTCGCGATGCAACCTGCGCTGTCGTGCAAGAGGATGAGTGCGAAACAAATTCGGATGAAAGCAGTGCGTCTCCAAGTGACACTGCTGCGCAGCAAGATGCTACAGACTCCCGGCAGTGGGGTCACCAAGATGATGTCGTGGAACATGTGGCTGCCATCGACACGCAGCATGATGAACCGGCGGTTCGCATGTTACAAGTCTTGCAGACCAAATGGCGCGAAGTGGAGAAGGAAGCTGCGCGAGTTTTACAGACTGAGCGCCGTGTCAAGCTACCTGATGGAAGCAGCAGTGGCCCCCATGCGTGTGTGACGGATCTTGGCGGCCGCAAGACTTGCGACCGCATCTGTTTGGACATCCAGGCAGAGGCCAGAAACTTGAATCCCAATGCTCAAGCTCGTCTGGAAGCAACTGTCGCTGGATGCTCGCAGCCCGTGGCCATTTCTGCAGAGGCGCTGGCCGTGCCCTTGAATGCGCCACTGTCCTTGTTTGATGGGAGGACATGGACTGTTTCTTTTGCCGAATTTGTCTTTGGCGACGGGGTTCCCAACTTAGAGCGGGAAAGACCGCTCCTCTTTGAACAATGGGCGCGAGCTCTCCTGGACCGAGATGAGCTGGAATACGACATGCCTGGAGAGCCCAGGTTCCAGGCGAAGTCTCCCAACAGGTTTGTCCGCTCTGAAGAAATCCTGGCCTGTATAGGGGACGTCAGGCGACGGCTTGCGCTCTTGATGGGAGTTCGGGGTGCACTGCAGCGTCCTGGGTTCTGGGCGGACATCCGTTCCATTGCACAAGCATCGGCAGCCGATTTTCAGCAAGCCGCCGGATTAGTAGGGCCGACTGGCGGTGTTCGTCAAGCCCTGCAGCATTCTGGCGTTAGCCAGAATGTAAAGAAAGCCTTGCAACATCTTCTTGTCTCGACTGCAAATGTCGCAGGAACAGAGGGGCACAAAGTAGCGGTTCGACATTTAGGTCATTCGTTGACCCTGCTGTATGGACCGGCAGTGCTTTTCATCACCGTGAATGTAGCCGATTTGTACAGTCCCGTCAGTTTTCTGCTGGATGGCGGCGGTGCTGGACAGCCTGCTGTGCGACGTTCCGTAAACCTGCTGTCTGATGCTCCGGAGCTGCCGCCCCTCAGAGTGATGAAAGAGCGTCTTGCACGCAACCCACGCGCCTTGGCCCGGCTTTTCATGCTATTTCAAGAGCTTACATTTCGCTACTTGCTGGGCATCGATGATGTCCGTTGCGGGCGCAAGTTTCTGCAGAGCTGGTCCTTGGGGGAAAAAGAAGATGACCACGCTGGATCCGGAGGTCCAAGCTTGGTTGGCTTTCCCAGCGCTGCTTTGGCCCCTATAGAGTCGCAAGGCCGGGGTTTCATTCCCCACGCCCACTGCAAAGTGCATGCTGGCAATGGTCTCTCGCTCCAATTTCTACGCGATCTTCTCCAAAGTGAAGAGCGAGAATGCCAAAGAAAGCTGGAAATGTATTCCTTGGCTCTCATCAAAGCTGCCGTGTCTGTCCAGTACGACTCTGCCTGCGAAAGCGCGCAGCAGCATGGTGTTTCCGTGCCTGCCGAACCTTACACGCAGAAGCAATGGAAACAATGCAAAATGGACCTGCCAATGACAGAAGACGAGGTGCCAGAGCACGTTCGCCGAGAACTCGCAGTGGCCGCGGCTGAAAGACGACAACCGCGGAATGCCTGGAGGGAAGTGCCGCTGACATATTGCGAGCAGAGCACGCTGCCGCGCTATCGTTTGGCAAGTGCTGCATATGGCTCCGACGGACGCTTGGGTTTGCCATTTGTAAAAGACTCCAGTGGTCGCATCACAGCACACCGCCTGCCATCCGGCGCTGAAGCTACACAAGATGATCGTGTGCAGGATGCTCATACGTATGCGCAAGCCTTCTGTGCGGACGTCCGGAAGCTGCAGGTGCTGAACCACACGCACGATTGCACGGAAACCTGCTTCAAATATGCCAGAAGCAGTGCAAAGGATGCATCACGAAAGACAAAGCAACGCAAAAATGCTCTGTGCCGTTTCTGGTTTTTCCACGTGGTGCCGGCTGCGCTCACAGCTTCCAGCCGCCCCATACGGCGCCGAGGCAAGGTGCTAGTGCCGGAGCCCTGCATCGCAGGAACTGATGACCATGGGGAATTCGGCCGTGTGTTGCCACGTCGTGAACGTCCCTTCACGTCCTCTACGAATGATGCCGCTCAATCTCAGATCCGTGGAAACGTGGATGTGCAGTTCCTTCCAAGATCTTTGCCTCCGGCTGGCGACATTGCCTCTGAAACCGAAGGCGCGGTCATGCAAGAATCTTCGGCCGCTATGTTGTATGGTTTCAATGGCACGCAGACCTCTGTGACTTTGCGAACGATCTGGAGCAGCGTCGTGGCCGCATATCGTGCAGCGCACAATTGCGACTACTACATTACAAAGTACCAAGCCAAGATGTGCCAAACACTGCTGCCCATTATGCAGCAAATGTACACCAGCATGAAACGATGGCAACAAGAGATGGAACAGGAGAAGTCTGCTGAAAAGAAACCACGCCTCAGTGTGCACGAGAAAGCTCGCAAAACTGCTCTGAAGTTGGCGTCTGCTGCAAACCGTTGCTACTGGCATAGTTTCTCTGAAATTTACTTGATGGTGCAAACTGGCGACGATTATTATGCGACCCATGTGATGGTGACACTGTTCACAAGACGCTTGCTGTACATGATGGAGCAGATGAAGCGAGTAGCTGAGCAGCGTGCTCCTGCTGTCCAGCCCCTGGACGTGGCAGTTCACGTTTTGAACCTGAGCGCGGCAGCGCTTCGGTCTGAAGATGATCCAGAAGATGTGTCGGACGAGGCGGCCTCGGACAACGATGGCCAGGAAGACCCTGGCGACGTGGCAGACACTGAAGGTGCGGAGTTGCGAAGAAATGTAGTTAGCGACCAAGCAATATAGCCCTTGCTTAAGCGCCCAGCTCAGAAATTTAGCCCCTGCTTAAGCACCCGGGAACTCAGCTCGGCAATTTAGCCTCTGCTGAAGCACCCGGGAACCCAGCTCAGCAATTTAGCCGCTGTTGAAGCACCCAGCTCAGCAATGTAGCCCCTGCTTAAGCACCCGGGAACCCAGCTCAGCAATTTAGCCACTGCTTAAGCACCCGGGAACCCAGCTCAGTAATTTAGCTCCTGCTTGAGTAGCCGGGAACCGAGCTCAGCAACTTAGCCCCTGCTTAGGCACCCGGGAACCCAGCTCAGCAATTTAGCCGCTGTTGACGCACCCGGGAACCCAGCTCAGCGATCTAGCCTCTGCTTAAGCACCCGGGAACCCAGCTCAGAAATTTAGCCCCTGCTTAAGCCCCCGGGAACCCAGCTCAGCCAGTCGGATTTCAGCTGCTTTGCCTTTACTTTTCTTCACTCGTCCTGCATGCTAGCTACTTCGGTCAGGCGGCTCGGAGCCTGCAGCTGGCCACCATTCTCCCGCAGAGCAGCAAGTCGCAACCACGATATTGGGCGGCTCTGGCACCAGCGCAGCAGATGATTGGCGACATCGCGGGGCGCAGCTTCATGACATGACGTATTTCGTCTACATGATGTATGTGCACCGCGTGCCCCGCAAAAAAGCTCGGCCAGCCCTGTCCTTTGAATTTGATCCACACTATGAGATGGGTTTCGCCTATGTGCAAGAGTTGCGGCATCGGATGGCGGTGCCACGTGTGCATGGCACGTTCTGCCCGACACGCGCGCAAGATCTGGAGCGAAACGCCATGTACAAGTGGCTGTTGCTGGGCACTACGTGCTGCGAGGGCGATGGGGCTTGCAACGACGTGAGGTGCTATGCGTCTTGTCTCGCACCCATCGGAGATGGCACTATGTACTCGTTTGCGGCAGCATGGCGGAGTCGCCGCGCTCAGCTTGAAACTGTCGGACGCCGGGCTCACGCAAAGATCTTGCTTGCCAAGAAGGAAGCGGTCCTCTGGGACTGCACACTGTGCAAGGATTGGTATGACAAAAACTCGGCCAAAAAACAGCGAAGCTCGGATGCTTTACAGCTTCGAGCTGTTCTGCGTCAATTGTTTGCACAGTTAGCAGTGCGCACCAAAGCTGGAGTGTGCGAGCGCGCCGCGCATGCCATCATGGGGTATGTGTGCATACCACATGCCCTCTACCACGTTTGTCCGGGGGATGGAGCTGCCTGCGCTGCGCTAGCGACCGGGCACAACCCGGAGCAACTGACACTGGAGGAATTTGTGTGTTTCAAGGCGCGCAATCTCGCTGACAACATGGACTTGACGGCAGAGGCCCGCGGGAAGCAAGTCAAACTCCGAAAGCAGCCGGACGCCGACGACAGCAGAACGGGGGAAGACTCTGCCAGTTGTCCGGAGCCTGTGGATGTTGCCGTGGAAGATGTTGGTGGCGGAGGTGATGACCCAGCCTTCGACGATGTTGACGTCGATGATAATGTACAAGAAGTGGCACTGCATGGGTCGCCAAGCCTGTCCACGCTTCGTCGCATCGCAAAAAAGCTTGAGGCACTGAAAGCAGCCTGCTCTGGTAAGCGCTGTCAGCGATGGATGAAAGATGTGGCCGCGTTTGCGAACGTATGGGGCTCATTGTACATAGACGCGCGGCAGACCGGACTTGATGCTGCACTGCCCGCGTTGTTGGAGGGGAGCCGTCTGCGAACACATGCAGGGCAATGTCTTCGTTTTCAGGATGCCCACCTGGCGCTGTTGAAGAAACACTTGGTTGACGTGGAGCATGCGCGGCACACAGATGCCGTTGATGCAACCATGTCTGACTTGGTGATGCCTCGTTCAACCTTTGAGCAAAAGCCTGCGTGCGTCCCTGTGCCCGCCATGCTGCAGGGTCCCGGGGCATTGGCGTGGAAGCTGGTGAAGGATGCGACATGCAATCGTGAGCAAGCTGGCGTCGCTGCTTTGGTAGCTTCCTGTTTGCAGCGACGCTTCCGCGAGGCCCAGACCGCAAGCACGGATGCGAATGTTTCTCTGCGACTGAAGAATGACGCGGCAACTGACAACTGCAGCATTGTTTTACTCGGCGGTGGTGGCTGCGGGAAAACATACCTGCTGAACAAGGTCATACGGCCACTCGTGGAAGCATATTTCGGCCGGCAAAGCTTTGCCGCCCTCTGCCAGTCGAATGCTGGGGCACGTGTTCTTGGTGGCCGGACAGTCCACTCGTTCTTAGGGCTGAATGCGCAGTCCAGCTTGCAAACTGCAAACTTGGGATTGAAAGGGCAAAGTCGGCAACGCATGGAGCGCATGACCGTGCCTCTCGGTGGCCTTTGCCTCGATGAAGTGTCCCAAACATCCGGTAAATTGATGCACGCACTCGCATTGCGTACCAGTGCCGCGCGTTCTGCTGTCCTGAACTTTCCACATGAGTTTTACATGACAGAAACAGAATTGTTCGGGCGCTGCCCAGTCACGTTGCTCATGGGGGACTTTCTGCAGCTGCCCCCTGTGCCAGGCAAGGATTCCATGCTGAACAGAGCTCATCCCTCTTTCGAACACCGGCAGGGCGCCATGGTTCTTTCACAAGCACGCTATGTTGTCGAGCTGAAGACCTCCAACCGGTTCAGCGACGCAGATTTGATCGAAATATTGCGCGTCATGCGCACTCCGGGAGGCGCCAAAATTCCCGACAGGGCATGGGCACGCCTTGTGGCCACGAAGGTCCATGCCGCTCCACAGCCTGTCAGCTCTGACCCGGGAAGCTGCGGCGCTGCACAGCCTGCAGGTACCGTCAGCGACGGAGCTCTGCCCCAGGGCACGCCGGATGGAAGATTGCTAGCTGCGGCCCGTGAGGGCTGGTTCGAGGCTGCTTATGCATGGAGTACAGTCGCAGTAGCTCAGCAGCTGCGTGCTGAATGCACTGCCGCTGTCAAGCATGCTACATTGCTATATGTTCCGGCTATAGACGTGCCGGCCGTCAGCCTTCCCAAAGCCGAGTTCTCTGCAATGCTGGAGACAATGAACATGACAACGACCAAAAAGCTAATGAGCATCCTCCCAATACATGTTGGTCAACGAGTCAAATTTACGACCGCGCTTTTGCCTCCGGTCGTGGTTCCGGAAACCACAGGTGAGATTGTTGGCGTGGAGCTTCATCCTTCCGAGCCAGAGCTGGCGTCTCGTGCCACCGTCCGTCACGAAGGCGCGGCGGTGCTGCAGTTCATGCCTCGAGCCATCTACGTCAGGATCGACGACTGCACTGAAATCTTTCTCGCAGAAAGAGGTCAGACGCTTGCGTGGAGTGACCAGCCCGACAACTTCTCAGTGGAAGGAGTTATCGCAGTTAAACCCCGTGTGCACACGTGGTTCTATACTGGTGAGAAAGTCCGAAAAGGCGAGCGTCAGCACCATGTTCAAGTGAAGCGTACGCAATTTCCCCTAGCCCCAGCGGGCGTCGCAACGCTGCACAGCCTCCAAGGACAAACAGCCCGTCCTGGCTTGGTCGCGCATTGGAGCCTCCCACCGAGCCTTACGCAAGAGCAGATATGGCTTGCCTATTATGTTCTGCTCTCCCGCCCTGAATCTTTGAACTGCTTGCTAAGCGTCAATTTGCCAGACCGACGCGTGTTGGAGAATGGGCCGCCGGAGCAACTGCAAAACGCCTTGCGCGAACTCTTCGACGAAAAGCTGGCGCAGTCGGCTACAGCTATTGAAGATGCACTTGCGTACCTGGGTTGGGATTTGAACGAACTGTAGGTGTGCACCGACCAGCCCCTGCTGTGCACCGAAACGGCCGCGGAGCTTTACAGCCCGCGTGCTCCACGGACCCTTGCTTTCACGGTGCCGCTTTTCCAGAGCTACGCGCTCTGCTCTCGTCTTTCTTCGACTATCTCCTGCGCTGTCTCACACGAAACCCACTCTCTTCGCTAGCAGAAAAAAGGCTGCAACGACCCAGCCTGACATTTTCCATACCAGTGATGCGCTCTTGCATGTGTTTTATTGTTTGTGGTAGGTAGGAAGAATAGAATGGTGGCACGGATGCTCATGTTATAAGTACGGCTTCGTTGTTCTGTTGTTTGTAAAGCAGAGGCGTTGTCCAGGCTCGTTAAAACATGGTTGTACGTAGAATGAGTACATCAAACCCTGTTGCGCTTGCGGCGACACTTGCGACAGTGAGCGCGCTGGCTCAAGTCGAAACCCCACGCAGTTCGCGCAGCGGAGTTCTCAACCTGCTGCATCGCCCTATTTCCTCGCGGGCATGGCACAGGAGACGCCTGAATCGGCGCTTGAAGCGGCATTGGACTTGCCGCAATTGACGAAGACGTCTGCCAGGCTGGGGTCATGGAAGGTACGCATCTCCTGTGCCAGATGTGTTACCTATACGTACAAAAACAAGCAAGGCGTGGAGGTTCAGGGAGACCGTTTTGAGTGCCGCCTTGTGGCTTCCAATGCCGCCCATTACATTGGAGCCTACGTAAAGGGTTCCAAGGACAAAGTGGTTGCCGCTGAGCGCAAGTATCAAAACGGCCTGGCATTCACAATGTCACACGTCTCTTTAGACACGTCGACAAAAGCGCAATGGATTGCAAGCGAGTTGAAGTTATTGGTCAATTTGGCATCCACACAAATGCACCCGTTGATGACCGGGACCGCTCCTGAAAAAGCTTTGCAGATGCACCCTGAGCCGCAGGTCTGCCTGGCAGACATCGTGTCCATCACCACACCCCGAATGGTGGATGTGATGGCTGTGCTGGATAACGTGTCTGAGACGCGCCTGGTTAAAGTCCCTGGCCGCGGCGACGCCGCAGTCGCAGATGCGCGTCTGCTCGACAGCGGTCGCCCAGGCGAGGAGCAGCCGACAGCTCTGATGGTGTCGATCTGGTCTGACCAAAGCGCTGACACATTGCGCACGGCCGAAGGACAAGTCGTCACTTTGCTGGGCCTGCATGCCAAGAATGATGGAAAAGGATTGCGCGTCAATGCCGGCGCCGACGCTATCATCACTGCAAATGCCGCTGTTACGTCTGCCCGTGCATCACTTCTTAAAGAGCAAGCATCTCGCTTGAAGACTGCCACCGTCGCAGAAGTCCTGGGCGAGTTCTCTTTGGACAATAAAGGGACAGGTTGGGCATCGGTCTTTGACTTTGAGGAGGACAGCGCGGTTCTGACCTGCGCGCATTTGCTGGAAAGCATTGCTGACGCCTGCGACATAGGTCGCGGGACACCTACTATGTACCAGCTGAACCACGTGGTTCTTGAGCCCCCGGAAGCAGGCAGCAGCGTTTTGACCAAAGACAAGGAACGTATCTTTTTTGTCGTCAAAGCACGAGATTGGAGTGGCGCCACCAATGTTTCCGTTCCTGAAGAACATGCGCTGGCGCTCACACAGACCAATAGCAAGACCGACTTTCTCTCCGCGTTCGAGCAACATACTTTGGCCTTTCCCATGTTGGTGACACTACGCGTCCTGCGCATCGTTCGGGAACCGCGCGCTGGTGACACTCAGGGCAGTGACGCTTCACAGCTTGCTGCTTCAGCGGGCGCAGTGGTCAATCTCGTGATTGTTGCCGTCAAGGAGCAGGATTTGTCGCTGCCACCGACAAATGCTGCCACCGAACTGTTGCTTTGTCTGAAGCAAACCAGTGGCGCAGGTGAAGAAGCCGTGCCTGCGGCGCGCCTTGCTGACATAGCGCACGTGCCGCACATCGGCCTTTGCATCAAAACAGCAACCGGCGCAATGCGTCCGGCGCGAATGGTTCTCTGCCTCATCCGCTCCACGCAAAAAAGCGCCTTGCAGCCGGTTGGCGCCGGATTCAAAGTCGTGACAGCCGGCGTCCAGGACGCCACCCTTGCGGATGCTGGGACCTATTGCGTCACTGGCTTTTGTGGGATGGACGCTGCTCTCGATTTCAAACTCGACCCACCGCGTGCATCCAACCGAGGCCGCGTGGCCGTCATTGCCATTTCTAGCGTGGGTGAACACGGCTTCACGATCGAAAGTGTGCAGCACATAGAGCCTGCAGCTGAGGATGACGTTCGTGGCGCATTCTTGCGCTTGCTACAGTTGGCACACGACTTGGTTTATGAAGCAAAGCCCATGCACAAGCGCAAAAGCTTCTCTGCTTCCGACAGCGACGCCATCACGAAGGCGAAGCAGTGCCGTGTTCTGAGCCGCTACCCCACAGATGCACAGTAGCAAGATGAATCGCCCGGCATCGCGCACGGACGTGTTTGCCGCAGAGTTCAGTGAATGCGGTTCAGGGAAGATGACTCATTGTCACTGTTTCCCTTTGGTAGCTTCTTTTGCCGGCAGTTTTTACAGAACTTGTTGTGGAATGCCTCTTCCTGCTGCTCCCGATGAGAAAAGTTAGACTATCGCTGCTTCATTCGAGGGACAGCCGTGACACAATAGATGCAGCGAGTTGCGAAGTAAACCCATTAATTCAGATACACAAACGCGTCGCAAGCGTAGACATCCCTGTGTCGCGACACTGAGCATTTAGCCCTTGCTTAAGCACCCACCCCAAATCAGAGTCCTAAGTGGTCGCTGATCACAGTTCACTGTCTGTTCACACGGGTCGGTGCTCACGCTGTACTGAGTTGTCGCTGGTCGCACTTCATTGTTTTCGGTTGTCGCTGCTCCCACGTCACCCGACCAAAGACCCAAGCCCACCCGAAACTTACCCCAACAAATCCCCCCAAATCCGCCCAAAACCCACCAAAGCTGGGCACGTTGCCGCTGCAAGGAAGGGGGAAAGCTGGTACGCATTTCCATGTCTTTGTAAAGCGGAAGGTCTGCAGGACTATAGCGTTGATGCTTGCATGGACGAGTTCTTTGCCGCCGAATACGGTATCCTCAAGGGCAGGTACTTCCAAGTATCACTCAAACAAAATGTTTTGGATGCAGCAAACACCGGGAATGGCTAGATGCAGCGTTTCCACGCCCTACAGTTAGAGTTTTTGAGCCCCTACATAAGGAATGGCTACCTCGACCTGCCGCTAGTAAAATGTCGCCCTTAAACGCCCA